TACCACCGATGTCAGAGTTTGGTTCGCATTGCCAGCAGTAAGTCGGAATCGTTTCCAGTGAGGGTTGGACTCCGCCAGGGCTGCCCTTTGTCACAGATTCTGTTCATAAACTTTATGGACAGAATTTCTAGGCGTAGCCGAAGCGTTGAGGGGGTCTGTTTTAGTGGCCTCAGTATTACATCTCTGCTTTTTGCAGATGATGTGGTCCTGTTGGCTCCTTCAATAAGGGCTCTCCAACTCTCACTGGAGCGTTTCGCAGCCGGGTGTGAAGCGGTTGGGATGACGATCAGCACCTCCAAATCTGAAACAATGGTCCTCAGTCGGAAAAGGGTGGCGTGCCCTCTCCGGGTCGAGAGGAGATCTTGCCCCAAGTGGAGGAGTTTAAGTATCTTGGGGTCTTGTTCACGAGTGAGGGCAGGAGGGAGCGAGAGATTGACAGGCGGATCGGTGCAGCATCTGCCGTGAAGCGGACTTTGCATCTTTCTGTCGTGGTAAAGAAGGAGCTGAGCCCAAGGGCAAAGCTTTCAATTTAACGGTCGATCTACGTCCCAACCCTCATCTGTGGTCACGAGCTATGGGTCGTGACCGAAAGAACGAGATCCCGGATACAAGCGGCCGAAATGAGTTTTCTCCGCAGGGTGTCCGGGCTCTCCCTTTGAGATGAGGTGAGAAGCTCGGTAATCCGGGAGGGGCTCGGAGTCAAGCCGCTTCTCCTGCACATTGAGAGGAGCCAGATGAGGTGGCTCGGGACTCTGATTAGGATTCCTCCTGGGCACCTCCCTGGTGCGGTGTTCCGGGAATGTCCCACTGGCAGAAGACCGTGGGGTTGACCCAGGACACGCTGGAGAGACTATGACACGCTGGAGAGACTATGTCACCCAGCTGGCCTGGGAACGCCTCGGGATCTGTCGGGAAGAGCTAGAAGTGGCTGGGGAGAAGGAAGTCTGGGTTTCCCTCATAAAGCTGCTGCCCCTGCAACCCGACCACGGATAAGCGGTGGTAAATGGATGGATGGATGGATGGATGAAATATTTATTTACATACTTTTTGTCTTCTCCTTTCTCCCTTTCATAATTTTGCTGCTGAAAATTGGGGATTTCTCCAGTGTGAGACAAGGTTTTCTTATCTTAAAAGTTGCTGCGGCAGCGTTGACTGATTCTTTTTTGGGTGGGGGAGGGCTGTGGTTTGATTTCAATGAAAAGCTGCCTTTTGGGAAATTTTCATCAAATTGTTTTTTAATCCATCTGACTGACCTCTTCTCCCCGCACCCTTTTTTTTTTTTTTTTTTGTTAAATCTTCATCAAAGAAAATTGTCCACCTATATGTATAGTTTTGATTGACTGTCCGGAGTGAAGACCGCAGGTTGCACCAAGTCTGCTTGGAATTGTTTCAGATGCAAAATCCTTCTGAATTCTGTAATCCATCCATCCATTCTCGGATCTGCTTTATCCTCACAAGGGTAGGAGGGGGTGCTGGAGCCTATCCCAGCTGTATTCGGGCAGTAGGCGGGTGTTCAGTGTGTAACCTGTTGCTAGCCAATCGTCGGGGACTCAGAGACGAACAACGATCTGCACTCACACTCATACCGTGGGACAATTTAGTGTCCAATCAGCTTGACATGCACGTTTTTGGAATGTGGGAGGAAAGCGGAGTCCCCAGAGAAAACCCATGCCGGCCCGGTGAGAACATGCAAACTCCACACAGAAAGGCCAGAGCCCGGATCGAACCCATGGCCTCTGCACTGTGAGGTCGATGCGCTAACCACTGAACACTGAACCACTGGGCTGCAATGAAGAAGTCAAGTATGCTCTTTGCACAAGCGGTGACCAGGATTCAATACAAATACTTATTTAACATTATAGTGGTATAAGAAGAGGTAGGTACCAACCTCTGGATAGGGGTAAGGCCCACTGTAAGAAAGAAAGGAACACTGTTAAATTAGAACATTGATCACTCATCGATCACATCGATACAGCTAATATAGTGTGGAGTAGGCTGCATAAATGTGGAACTTATTTTTAAAGCTGTCGGGTGTAACTTATGATGATTTTTTTAAAAAAAATTTTAATAATAATGATTTTCGCCAAAGTATGATGTCAACTCTAATCCAGGCTCCTCAGTGGCATTGTCACAAGCATCACTAAATTTCTTTTCCATCGTCCTAATTTGCTTACTCATTTCGGGTTTGACAACGCCCGCTTCTGTCGGCTCCTGTGTATAAAAATACTCTCCCTCAAATCCCAAAACATCGCTCACCATTGTAGCACATGGAAATTGGACAATCACTCTGTTGTAGCATGCTGGTTGCGACGAAAACATCACGTTGAGTAACTCTAGTGTTGGGTACAGTAACTACACCGACAATGCCTCAAGCTTTCAGTCGGTTCAGAAACAGTCAGAATGAGTCATTAAAATATTTTTAATCAAACTGTGGTTGACAACTTGCAGGAAGTGACCCGTACGTATGACAAAACATTAAAAATAAGAATATGAATTTTAAGAGACTCTGAAAAAAAATTCTTTGGAATCTGACCTTGAAGACACACGTTTCATAATTTCACATGCTAAGGTCAGTAACCTCTACCTGACCCCATAGGTGACTTCCCAGAGTCCAGTATTAATGTGTTTCTCATGGTATGATATAATATGATGGAGATCTTAACCTCAAGCTGACCCCAGAGGTCAAACTCAGAATGCCTCCACATCTGAAATTAAAGCTTTGGCCAAAATGAACAAAATGTAAAACATTTTAAGATCATTTTTTTCCCTGAAAGTAAGAGCTTAACAGTGCCACTGCTATGCTTAGCGCCCCCAAACATCTTCACTTCAGATTGCTAGCGCGGTCGCTTTAGAATGCTTCAATGTCAGTCGCGCATGTGTAACCAATTTCGGTGCACTATTTTTAAGGCAGAGGAAAAACCCACCGGTTAGACCTGTTACTCAGAGAAACACAAGAGAGCGATCGAATGGATTTTTCTTTTTTACATGTCTGTATGCCTCTGAATATTCTCATTTTCCAGGACATTTCATTATCAGTGCATTTAGTGTTCATTGTTCTGGTTGTCTAAGAAGATGCATCACTTGTCATCCGAAATGGTTTCCTCAGTTCATGGTTTGGTTCGGATTGCACAAGCCTCGGTTGATGTGGAAACTACATTTGGAAGCACGCCCCAAACCATCAATAGTATTTATTATTCCTTTGGAATGCAAAACTACACTTGTTGAGATGCCTCTCAGAAGCCTCCGTCCGTCCACAAGTCTCGAGGAAATTGACGGGCTTCTCATTTTTCGAAGGCCAAGGTCAGACAAACTGGGAAAGGGCTTCGATGGGCCATTACTGAGAGTCTTGTTGCGGCCTCAAAA